GGGGCCTCTGCAGCCTCTGCCGGGGAATTCGGCTCCGGGGTACGGTACTGATACCGGGAGTGGAACCGTGTCAGCGCCTCATTCATGGGAGAAAAACATCCAAAAATAAAAAGAGGATAAAAAGCAAGGCAGAACCACACCCCCACACCCCCCCAATTCTCCCCTAAGGATGGGACTCCCCGAAACCCCACGCTGTGAGGAGCAGCTATTCCCTGTGGATATACGGAATGAGCTACAGCCAAGCGTGCCTGATGCTGGGGGCGGCAGGCTGGGCGATGCGGGGAGCTTGCGGGACCCCCGTCCCCCTGTGCGTATGCGGGGTGGGTAGGTGTTTTTGCTGGCTGCATCAGGTATTTTTGGTGACTTCTCGTCTGGGGAGGTACTTTTCTCTGCCTGCAGAAGGGAAACACTGCCAAGTTTGGTGTCCTGTGCCAGACCCTCTGTGTTTGGTGGGGACAAGGGGAGGAGGAACCAAAAACCCACCCAGGAGGACGCAGGAGACTCAGCAAGCAGGACCGAGACCCGGAAAGAAACTGGTGACAAAATACATATCGCCTGTGACAGGGCAGCAGCTCAGAAACCACGCAACGCCCTTCTCTTTTAAAAAAAAAAGTCGTTTAATCCATGAATTCCACAGCATCGCTGTCATACACAGCGGCAGGACACCTCGGTACGCGGGACACAGAGCCAAGAAGATGCAGTTACCCAGAAACACGCTTTTTCTTGGAGTTACCCAGAAACATGCTTTTTCTTGGAAAAAAAAAAAAAAGCAAAAACCCGACCCCCCCTAAGGATGTCAGGGGGAAAACCAGCGGTAGATGACTGGAATAACTAGTTCTCTTCAGCAAGTTAAAGGCACTTAGCAAGGGAACGAAACTCCAGCCCGAGCAGGCTGCCTCACCCCGTGCCCCACGTGCGGGACCCTGGCAGGGGCGATGCCGGGGGCAGCTGCGCGGGGTTCCCCGGGAGCACCTGGGGGCCTTCTTCTTTTCTTCTCTTCTTTTCTCTTCTTTTCTTTTCTTTTCTCTTCTTTTCTCTTCTTTTCTCTTCTTTTCTCTTCTTTTCTCTTCTCTTCTCTTCTTTTCTTTTCTTTTCTTTTCTTTTCTTTTCTTTTCTTTTCTTTTCTTTTCTTTTCTTTTCTTTTCTTTTCTTTTCTTTTCTTTTCTTCTCTTTTCTTCTCTTTTCTTCTCTTTTCTCTTTTTTCTTTTCTCTTTTCTTTTCTTTCTAGGTGAGAGCAAATTTTTCAGATCTGGGGCTTTTGCTGTTGGTGCTTTAAATCCACCTCCTCCCTGGTACACACAGAGCCGCTTCTGCCCGTCTCCGCGGGGACGGTTTTGGCCTCAGAGCGCTGCAAACGAGGCATTTTATGGAGCAGAAATATAAAACCCAGCTGGTCATGTGCTGGCAACAGCATCAAGCCAACCAAGACCCATCAGGAAAAACACCCCCAATACATATATATTTCTTTTTCTGCATAGATTAAATAAAAAAAAAAAAAGCAAAATAAGAGATTACATTGTCCCTGGTCTGAAGGCGAGGCCCCTCCTAACCCAGCCCAGCATCTTTCTGCAGAAGCTGGGGCAGGCACAGGTCCCTGCTCAGGGTGACTGCTGGGTAGGGACACGGTCCCCCACGGGGGCTGTGGGACAGGGTCTGTCCACTGGAACCCCCCCGAGCAACTCCTGGGAGAGAGAAAAAACCCCTAAGTTAAACCAACCCCCCCCCTCCTCAGCCCCACCGAACCCTGCCGAGAGCTGGCGCTTCCAGAACCTGCTCGTTCTGCAAAAAGAGGAGGGGGGATGGGAGACGAGAAAAAAAGCATTTTATAAAATACATTCTTGGCTGGAAATGAAATTTGAATGCAGCTCGACGCTTTCCTGAAAACACCCTGAATAAGTCATCAGCCAGACCCTTCGCCAAGATGAATTTGCCCCCGAGGAGAAAAGAATTAAAACGTAAAATGCCGTTGCGTGCTGCAGGCTACGGCCGGGCCGCCCCAGGAAGGGGGCGCGCCAGCCGCTCGCAGCAAATCCAGGAGGGATGGAGACGGACCTGCGCGGTCTCACGGCGTCCCTGGTACGCGCAGAGGGGGACGCATCCGGCACTCAGCTGACGAACGCAGCCGCTAACGGGGAGGCCAGCCCAAAGGCAGAGAGGTGAGTAATTGCCATATATCATACATTTAATATGCTGCTTAGATTTTTTAACATAGATTTCTTTTTTTTTTTTTTATTACTGACATTGGTGAGTCATTTAAATATTTTGCCCAGACAATAAAATATTAAAAAAAGCCCATCTATGGTATGTGCCCACAGACTCTAACAATAGTCACAATATTAGGGCCCAGTGAATGTTATAAGAATCTCTCAAGTCCGTGTCATACATACATTATAAACTTACAAATAAATAACTACAAAAATCCTGTCCTCGCTCCGTGACTTCATGTGATTGGCAGCAACAACAACAAACAACCAAAGGCTCTGTCTGGTGACGGCAGCTCAGGAATCGCACGTTTAGCTCGAGGAATACATCACCGGTGCAACACCAAAGCCAACCGCAAGGCAACAAAAAGACGTCCCCTACGAAACAATTTTTTTGATTTTTATTTTACATATTTATACATAAAACTTTGAAGGTAACTCTCTGAATCCGACCGAATGTTAATAGCACATCTAAAAATGAATGTCAGGTAGTCAACATTCACAAAATGTTGAAAACTGATTAAAATATACATATTACTGAAAGCTACAACTTCACTACGAGGCAGGCATGTATTTTTTTTGACTTGTATAGCACCGTCAAGTACAAGTTTCTTTATTTTAAAACTACAGTGAAGAATAAAAAAGTAGTCAATGGTAAAATATCGTTCAACTCAAAATCTCTAAACAAACAAAAATAAAGTTAAGCTACCCTCTCTTCTCACCCATGGTTTATAATGTTATAAGTACTGTACATTTTTTGTAATAATATTATTAAAATGCCTGATATTTAGTGGCACGAGTAAAAAAATTAAAATAAATTAAGAAGCAGAGGCCAACCACCGGACATAAAGCTTCAGACATGGTCAATGACGAACACTGGTTTTCCCGGGTGCCGCCATGGACATCAGCGCTTGGACAACAGACAGAAGCAGAATGAAGTTCTTCGCTCGAGCTCCGCTCCCGGCGCTCCGGGGTTCATTTTGCCGGCATCTTCTCTGCCATGTGCTTCTGCTGGCTTTCGGCGTGTCTGTGGGGAGGAACGAAGCCGCGTCACTCGCCGAGGCGAGGAGGAACCCCCAGCCCCGCGCAGGGCTCTGCTCCAAGCCAGCGTCCGCCCCGCGCTGGCTTGGAACCAAAAATAACGAGGAAAAAAAAACCCCAAGCAGCGGGCGAGGGATGTGTGGTACCTGGGTGGGCTCCTGCGCGGCGGGAGGGGACCGGGAGGGGGTTGAAGGGGAGAGGGCACCCTTCTCCAGGGTGGTTCTGGGTCAGCCAGGATCCTTCCCTCCCCGAACAATGCGGGGACGGGGAGAGCCGGTGCCCCTTGCCACGCACATCACTTGCTCTTCGTTAAGCGACGCAGCGACGGCATCTCGAAAGACTCCGAGGCGACAACCTCGGGCGGCACGAGAGCTGCTCCCAGCTCCCTCCCAAAGCCACCCCAGCTGCCAGAAAAGGTTTCCCAGGCTGGGCACCGTCAAATCCCAACCAGCCGCTACCCAGCACCGCGACGCTTTGAACCAGAAGCAAATTCAGGCCGTTATTTTCGCAAGCTTAGGGCTTCAGTTCCGAAACTGCAGTCCTCAAGAGGACCTGAGCACAGCGCCCTGCTCAGCCCTTACCTCTGATGGCAAAAGCTTTAGCACTGAAATTCTGCTAAAAGCAAACCCCGCTGCGCTGCCGACGGCAAGCTGGGAGCAGTGAGGGGAGAGGAACCCCCCGAGGAGCCTCCTTCACCTGGTCAGGTCCTCGATGTCCACCAGCATCGCGTCCTGCTCCGTGTGCAGCTCGTCCCGGATCAGCAGCAGCTGCACCAGCTCCTCGTTCAAGCCTGGTGCCGGGGAGAAAGGGGGTGAGTCCAGGGTGTCCCGGGGAACCCCACTTTGGGACCCGTACGTCCCATGGGGAAGCCTCGGGTTGAGCTTTTTAATTCCCCACGGCAACGCAGAGCACGCTGCCCACCCGTCCCGCTCCGGGGTTACTGTCCCAGCCGGCCCCTCTGCTCAAGGGGGACGTTCCCGGTGCCAGGTCCTTGCTTGGGGCTGTGGCAAAGTGCAAGGAAGAAGAAGAAACCGAAAAGGAACACATGAAAAACGAGCAGGCCCCAGCCAACACTTCTCTTTGACCTACAGCCACCAGAGAATCGTAGAATCACAGAATCATTAAGGTTGGAAGAGACCTCTAAGACCATCAGTTCCAACTGTCACCCCAACACCCCCACGCCTGCTAAACCATGTCCCCAGGTGCCACATCCACACGTTTTTTGAACCCCTCCAGGGATGGGGACCCCACCACTGCCCTGGGCAGCCTGGTCCAAGGCCTGACCACTCCTTCAGTAAAGAAATTTCAACTAATATCCGATCTGAACCTCCCCTGACGCAACTCTCAAAATTTAATTAATTAATTAGTTGGAAGATGGAGATCCCCTGGGGATAAAAAAACCCCTGGATCTTCTGGAGAGAGCAAAGACAGACGAGGCGGTGGGGCACTGTCCCTGTGAGCAAATGCCAGGACCCACAAACCGCACTGAAGCACTGTGAGAGCGGATTGACCCCGGGGTGTTTGCTAAACCAGAGGGTTTCTCCACCTGCGGATGGCGCTGACGCCACGGCGCAGCGTCACGTGAAGACGCGGCCACGGAGCCCTGAACGGCAGGGGCTTCAGGACGGGCAGATTTCCCAGGGCTATTTTTACCCGGCCAGGTTTTGGGGTACAAGCGGGGCGTTGGGTGCTGGCACAACGCTGCAACCCTCCTCTCTCGAGGAGCCACGCTTTAGGAGAAACTGAAAAAACGAAAGGAAAAGGCTGACGGAGCCAAATCTGGAGAGAACTCCGGCTTCTGTGGCGGGCCTCTTTCATATATTCATGTTCTTATACATTCTTTCATATATTCATGTACTTATACATTTACCAACATTTCTGTGTGTATCCTGGACAACTGTTCTTAATTAAATGGGTCATACCAAAGAATAATTAAATGGGACATAACAAAGAATAATTAAATGGGGCATAACACAGAATAATTAAACAAGCATCACTTACTTTCTATCTGTGAGTGGAGATCATTGACTATCACTTGTAGCTGCCCGATAGTCATGTCTCTTAGGTCAGTGGGTTTTAAATTTCTCTTCATCAGGCATTCACTTATATGAGGCATATGTGGCAGCTGAAAAGACAGTTTCAATTTCTTACTGCTTTCTTCAAGCTATTTGTATGTCCAAACAGCGGCAGCTCACGTCGCTTGCATCCCCCTCCCACGACCCTACACCAATGGCCACAATGAGAGCACCAAAACGAGCCGAAACATCCTCACAATGTTGGCCCCACGTCTTCAAATCTACCAATGTATTCACAGAACCACAGAATGTTCGGGGTTGGCAGGGACCTCTGTGGGTCACCCAGCCCAACCCCCTGCCCAAGCAGGGTCACCCTGAGCAGGCTGCACAGCACCGCATCCAGGCGGGG